AGGGTATGAAATCACCCGGATTGGACGACCCACCATGCGCCATAATTTGTGTCACCAAATCTCTAAACTTCTTAGAATACCCCTCATCATAAAACCTCCTTCCACCCACCATTCCCATAACAACATTGAAAGTAAGATCCGACAGCATCGGCTCCACTTCCACTTCCCTAAACTCTTCCAACCAATCCCCACATAACTTCCTCAGCAACCGTTTCACTTCATTTTGTCGGATACCCAAGAACAGATTGAGGCGGCTGGTTGAGAAAATCTCGAGGGAGCAAATCCGGCGGAGGTTTCGCCAGTGCTCGCCGTAAGGGGAGATGGCGAGGGTTGTGTGGTTGTATGCTAAGTACTTTCCGGTGTCGAGCAATGGGCGATTTGCGAGAATGATGTCGTTTTTTGTGAAGCATTCTTGAACGGCTGAGGGGGAGGATATGAGTACGACAAGGCGTGAGCCGAATCGGAGAGAGATGACATGGCCGTGTTTTTGTGAGAGGTTGTGGAGTGATCGGTGGAGGGGGTGTTTGAGGAGATGGAAATGGCCTATTAGTGGAAGGGAGAAGAGTGGTGTTGGTGGGAGGTTGAGGCGATGAGGGGTTTGGAGAAAGTTGAAGGCGAAGAGAAGAGAAAGTAGAAGGAGGGGAATTGAAAGTAGGAGAATATCCATGGCTTTCTTACTTGCTTTTGGGATAAGGTTCCATGTTATATGCACAAATGCTTGGCAACCAAGGAACAAACTTTTTCCACCCTCCACTTCATTGACTCGATCATTACGGTTTTGGTTAGGTTACAAACTTATTTGGGTTGCATTGGATTGGATGCGAATAAATGAAAATTTTATAAATTGGCATAGTTTTCCCAACCTTATCGCTAACATGTCACCTGGTGTCCATCCCCCTTCAGAGCTCAACCTCCTCGCTGGTACATCTCCCGATGTTTAGCTCTATACCATTTGTAGGATGCTGGCACATCCCCTTTTAGGGCTTAGCCTTCTCGCTAGCATTGTCGGGTGTCCATCCCCTTCAAGACTCAGTCTCCTCACTGGTACATCGCTTGATGTTTAGCTTTTATACCATTTGTAGGACGCTAGCACATACCTCTTTGGGACTTAGCCTCCTCACTGACATATTGCCGATGTCCACCCCTTCGAGACTCAGTCTCTTCGCTGGTACATCGTTCGGTGTTTAACTCTAATACCATTTATACGAGACTGGCACATTCCCTTTGGGACTTAGCCTCCTTGCTGGCACATCTCCTAATGACTAGCTCTAATACCATTTATAACAGCTCAAGCACACAATTAGCAAATATTGTCTTTTTTACACAACTAGCGCATACAACTAGCAAATATTGTTTTGCAAATATGGTCTTTTTTTTTGGGGGTTTTTAACTTTTTAAAAAAATATATTTTTAAAATATAAATTAAAATTGAGTTATAAATTTTAATTAAATATAAGAATAAATAAATGACTCAAACCATCCAAAAACAACTTAGTAAAAACATATAGGTTGAGTTTATCATTTAATAAAAATATTAAATTGTTTGGGTTAAAAATTTTAGGATAACATAGGATTAAAATAAGTTCATATTACAATTTGAGCGTTTACTAGATATTTATTTTATGTAATAGCCGACCTATTTGAACGAAGAAAAATTTGCAACCACTTAAATTAAAAACTTTATCTTTGTGACACCTTTGACCAGAAAGAAAAAAAAAATAAATAATAAAAACTAAAATTGAAAGGAAAAATAAAATTAAAAAAATACTTTTAATTGAAAAGAGAATGATTGTGTTACGTATATTAATTTATTCATAGTCTACCAAATGAATATATTTTTCAAAATAGGAGAAAATATGAATCCCATTGCCCAATAAACGAAAAGGTTTTTATTGATTTTTTATTTTATTTCAAAGGTAATGAAAAGTGAACAAAAAAAGAAAAAATGAATCTATGCGTCTTCTACATAAAGACGAAAAAACCCGAACATCAAAACTTGAGAAGATAAAACGTACTTCGTTGAAGAAACAACATATCATTAGGAAAAAAATTATCCCCTTTACAACGATAATAAGCACACAGCAACAAAACAAAAACACACGGAATTAACGTGGAAAACTTTAAAACCCGAGAAAACCCTATTTCTTCTCTTAGCTAGTGATAAAGAATTTGGCATTGAAATACGTGAACATCTCTCTAATAATATAAAAACTTGTTTTTCAATGTTTTTTCAAATTTTTTTATGTCACCTTTCATTTCTCTAACAAAGTTTAGGCAAAATATTCATTTTTTTTTTTTTTTTTTTGGAAAAGCGTTGACCAAAATGGTAATAAGATATTTTTATTCTCAAGTTTGACTAAGAGATGTTGTTTAATTAATTGTAATAAAATAACAATAACTTGTCGCTCGAGCAAAATTGTTTATCTTGGATACGGCATCGCCAATAAAGAATTAAATTAATTTATATTGTATTACAAACTTGGCTGCACCTAAATTTCCACTCCCTTTCTTTCTCTGTTTAATTGTATTTAAATTGTTTAAGCTTAAAATACATATATTTTCATAGAAAAACAATCAAATTTTGAATGAATATCATTTCACACCCCCTGATGTTACAACTTTGCATGTCCTTACGTTATCAAGGGATCTATCAATTGTGTAAAGTCGATCAACTAACGAGAAATCAAGGGATATATCTATCGTACAAAGCCGATCAACTCTCATGCACACATAACAGTTGTCACAAGTAAATTCACAATACAGTGTACAATTCTCATGCACACAGATATACAATTTATCTCAAGACCCTAATATGATATTTAAAATAATTCTCGTTTATATTGATTGGTAATTGTATCACAACTACCGATATAGGTAATTATTATGGTTTTCATGCCCACATTAAATTCATAGGCATTCAAAACGTCCAACAAAGTCTCGTAAATATAAATTTCAAGTATGCATAACATTCAAAGTAAACCCGAGAAATTCCCTATTAAAATTGCCCTAAATTAAATGAAAATTCATTTAAAACTAGGAAAACCTAAACAACAGGCCTCGAAATCATAATCAAGACAAACAAGTCCAGTTGACCAAAACCATTGATTGTTGACTGAGGAGCTGGTCGTTGACTGAGTTTATTGTTGACCAAGCCATGTGGAGCCGTCTGAGCCGCACGCCGAACGCGAGTTGTACTCCTGAGTCAAGCTGCAAATGGTACGATAGACTGGTGGGCTTTGGGGTTGGGTGGCGCGTGTATAAGCTTGTTGGGTTAAGAGAGCAACTGGGCTTGGCTAGTGAGTTAGCTAGTGAGGTTTCTAAGCTTGGGCTAGTATTGAATTGGGATGTTGGTTGAGCGTGTATAGGGTGAACGATAGATTGAATTAGACTGAACCAAGCTATACGTGAATTCAATCGAACTAAGATGAATCGAGATGGATTGCTTCTTCAATCTCTCTCACAAATCCGCGGTATTCGAGACTTAACCGTGACTCGTCCACTAGCATTCCACAATGTTTTACGACAGTGCAACTCTGCAATCACGATCGGAGTACAACAACAAACACAATCCTCCTATCTATTAAACAGTGTTGCTACCAATCTCGAGAGAAAATTAATCAAAACAACATCGAAAACCTATTTTAAAAAGGAAATTCAAGGGCTTATCGGTCGGTGTTTCAAAGCTCCATTGACCTCACCTTCAACATATACGGTGGTCTAAGTCGAACTTCGATAACAAAAAAACGCAACGACCATCTTAACGAGTTTAGAAAGTCATAAGGTTAAACAAGAAAAAATATTCTATACTCACTACAAAAATCCAACCTTTTGGTTTAGGGTTTGTCTAATTTATTTTTTATAATTTAGCCTAATTTCTTACTCGAACGATGACTCGAGGCAATACCTCTCTTCCTCCCTCATTCTTTGTTCCGGTCATATATGTTTTAAAGATTTATTATACAAAATCTTAAATTTTACGACTAAATGTCAATTAGGTAAGCGCGTTCACTACTGATTTGGTTGAATGAATTGTATAAGGTATGAATGGCGTGTGCCATGTGATCTTTGCACATGTCGTATCTTGTGATTGTAATATTTACTTATTATGTTATGATGTGTTATGATGTGAGATATGTCATGTTATGGATTATCATGTTGACATGTTATGCTATTTACGGTGGTGCTATGTTATATATTACATTATGAAATTGACATAAAATGATTATGTTACGTATGAAATAAATTAATATATATATTGCATCACAAACACATGCCATAATTTAAAACTATGGAGACCTCATGCATATTAGATGTTCACGTGCATCGGGATACTTCCCTGCACGTACACTATGATGTTATAGTATGGTACGATGTACACAATGATACTACGCACTCCCTTCCCTCCGTGGTATATTGGCAACGTGAGTGTACGCTAGTTGAAGGTCAAGTCTAGAGAGTATGTATACCATCTCGCCTAGGGTCTATGGGTGTGTTGTAGGCCATGTGTAGAGAAGTACTGCACATCAAATCCAGTGCAGGATTGGGAGTTGAAACCAACGTTATGAAAATGATATTTTATGAAAAGATACATGTTCCAAACATGATTGTTTGATCACATTTCTTAATTTCAATAGTGGACTACTTTCTGAACATTTCTTAAAAAACCGTGCTACTCTTTCTTTTCAGGTAAAGACAAGACACATTTACACGAATCACGACGTTGCAGTGACGCCCATGGGACCAAATCTATGGTAGATGCACTTTCATGTTGTTGGTAGCCCTTAAGTTAGATCAAAACACTACTTTGTTTGTTTCCGCGTCCATTGTTGGCAATTTTATTATGAATATATAAATCCATGAAATAAATATTTTTAAAATTTTAAATTTCTTTCGTGACAATACATAAATATTTTTATTAATGTAACTAATAAAATGACTTGAAAAATGACAATATTGGACTGTTCTCAATAAAGTTTGGACTTTTCTCAGTCTCTTTAAAATGAAGCATTCGCCCAACTGAAACTTCAACTGTAAATTGTTTAGCTGAATCAATCAGCTCCCATTTTCCCTCTTCGATCCGTCTCCCATTCTTGCCAATGGTACGAACACTCATTCTACTCCCTGCAATTCTCATCCATTGCTTGCACCTCACGCATCTCTGCCTCTCCACCGATCCCATTTCCTCCAATCGTCTCCTTACCCCTTCGCATCGCGCCATGGTCTTGCCTCTCTACCTCTCTTCGCCTAATTCCTCCAGATTTCTCTCGAACCCTCGCCGTCATCTCCGCGATTTCACCAATTCCAACAATCGCTCCAATGCTCGAATGCGCCTCTACGATGAACTACTTCTAAATGGGTATGTTCCATCTCCTTCAAATTTCCCATGATTTTCACTTTTGTTTGATGCAATGTGGTTTTTGGTTAAGGTATTATACGACCAAGCTTTGGATCGGAACTCCACCGCAGCAATTCGCGCTTATTGTTGATACGGGGAGTACGGTTACTTATGTTCCTTGCTCCACTTGCGTAGAGTGTGGGAAGCACCAGGTTAAAATGTTTACAAATTGATCATTATTAGAGCGTTTATAAGGGTTTCATATTCATATTCAACCATCTGCTCTGTTTTCTTTTATGAACATTCGTATGGAACTTGGTAAACCAATACAATTTTGGTAGGGAAATAGATCGAATGATATGGATCCTAGTTGATATATGTTTTTTGCTCCAAAGGGTGAATGATAAACTGTGAGAATCCCACATTGGTTGGGACACAATCCCACATTGATTGGGGAGGAGAACGAAACATCCTTTATAAGGGTGTGGAAACCTTTCCCTTGCACGTTTTAAAGCCTTGAGGGAAAGCCCAAAGAGGACAATATCTACTAACGGTGGGCTTAGACTGTTACAAATGGTATCAGAGTCAGACACCAGGCGATGTGCCAGGGAGGAGGCTGTTCCCTGAAGGGGGTAGACACGAGGCAGTGTGCCAGTAAGGACGCTGGGCCCCGAAGGCTGTTCCCTGAAGGGGGTAGACACGAGGCAGTGTGCCAGTAAGGACGCTGGGCCCCGAAGGAGGGTGGATTTGGTGGTGATCCCACATCGATTGGAGAAAGGAACGAGTGCCAGTGAGGATGCCGGGTCCCAAAGGGGGGTGGATTGTGAGAACCCACATTAGTTGGGGACATAACCCCACATTGGTTGGAGAGGAGAATGAAACACTTTTATAAGGGTGTGGAAACCTTTCCCTAGCAGACGCATTTTAAAGCCTTGAGGGGAAGCCCGAAAGGGAAAGCCTAAAGAGGACAATATCTGCTAGCGGTGGGCTTGTGTCGTTACATAAACATTATCCATTTAATGCATGAGACTGAATTGTATGATTGGTATTCTATATGGGTCTTGAAGTTTGTGGATGTGCTAGTTTTATGGATAAAGTTTGTCCTGTGATTTATTATATTTGTATTAAAACATTTCTAGTTCTTTCTTTCATAGGTACCTTGCAATGTGCGGTAGTTGGTACTTAAACTTTTATTTCTACCAGGACCCGAAATTTGATCCAGAATCGTCGAGCACTTACCAAGCTGTCAAATGCAACAATGATTGCAATTGTGACAATGATGGATTGCAGTGTATCTATGAAAGGAAGTATGCTGAAATGAGTACTAGCAGTGGTGTCCTTGGTGAGGATGTTATATCCTTTGGCAATCAGAGTGAACTCATACCACAGCGTGCTGTGTTTGGGTGTGAGAATGAGGAAACGGGGGATCTTTACAGTCAACGTGCTGATGGAATTATGGGCTTGGGCCGTGGTGATCTTAGTATTGTCGACCAGCTTGTTGACAAAGGTGTGATTAATGATTCTTTCTCACTATGCTATGGTGGTATGGATATTGGTGGTGGTGCTATGGTTCTTGGGGGAATCTCTCCTCCATCAGATATGATTTTTAGCTACTCAGATCCTGTGAGAAGGTGTGTTCTAAAGTCGTTTATCCTAAAGAATTGTACTTCATGTTCATTCATAACAATTACAATTGATCATCGCAAGTTTACTTTTCTTTTGGGATGGCAACAGTCCATATTACAATGTTGATTTGAAGGGGATACATGTTGCGGGTAAAAAGTTGGTTCTGAGTCCTAGTGTCTTTGATGGAAGATATGGAACTGTCTTGGATAGTGGTACAACTTATGCTTACCTACCAGAGGAAGCGTTTGGAGCTTTCAAGGATGCTGTAAGCTTCTATTCTTTCAATTTACTATTCACTGCCAGGAGTATCTTTACTAATTCTGAATTTGAAGATTGTTGCATGCTTTCCAAAGAACATCATAAGCTGATCTAACCTTTCTCTTTGTAAAATCCCACGTTAGTTGGAGAGAGGAACGAAACATTCCTTATAAGGGTGGAAACCTCTCCCTAGTAGACACATTTTAAAACCTTGAGGGGAAGCTCAAAAGGGAAAGCCCAAAGAGGAAAATATTTGCTAACGGTGGGCTTGGGCGGTTACAAATGGTATCAAAGCCAGACGCCGAACGGCGTGCTAGTGAGGACGGTGGGCCCCCAAGGGGAGTGGATTGTGAGATTTCACCTTGGCCGAAGAGCGGAACGAAACATTCTTTATAAGGATGTGGAAACCTCTCCCTAGTAGATGCGTTTAAAACTTTGAGGGAAAGCCCGAAAGGGAAAGCCCAAAGAGGACAATATCTGCTAGTGGTGGGCTTGGGCTGTTACAAATGGTAACAGAGCCAGACAACAAACGGTGTGCCAGCGAGGATGTCGGGCCCCCCAAGGGGAGTGGATTATGAGATCCCACCTCAGTTGGAGAGGGAAACGAAACATTCCTTATAAAGGTGTGGAAACTGCTCCCTAGTAGACGTGTTTTAAAACCTTGAGGGAAAACCCGGAAGGGAAAGCCCAAAGAGGACAATATCTACTAACGATGAGCTTGGGCCGTTACAAATGGTATCAGAGCTAGACACTGAACGACGTGCCAACGAGGACACAAGCCCCTAGGGAGGGTGGATTGTGAGATCCCACATCGGTTCGAGAGGGGTATGAAACATTCCTTATAAGGGTGCAGAAACCTCTCCCTAGTAGACGCGTTTCAAAACTTTGAGGGGATGCCTGGAAGGGAAAGCCCAAAGAGGATAATATCTGCTAGCAGTGGGCTTGGGCTTTTACAAATGGTATCAGAGCCAGACACCAAACCGCGTGCCAGCGAGTACGCTGGGCCCCCAAGGGGAGTGGACTGTGAGATCCCACCTCGGTCGGAGAGGGAAACGAAACATTCCATATAAGGGTGTGGAAACCTCTCCCTAGTAGATGCGTTTTAAAATCTTGAGGGGAAGCTCGAAACGGAAAGCCTAAAGAGAACAATATTTGCTAGCAGTGGGCTTATGCTGTTACAAATGGTATCAGAGTCAGACACCGAACGGCGGGCCAGCAAGGACACTGGACCCCAAAGGGGAGGGTGGATTGTGAGATCCCACATCGGTTGGAGAGGGGTACGAAACATTCCTTATAAGGGTGTGGAAACCTCTCCCTAGTATATATTTTAAAACCTTGAGAGGAAGCCCAAAAGGGAAATCCTAAAGAAGACAATATCTGCTAACGGTGAGCTTGGGCTGTTACACTCTTGTTCTCTCTAATGCAGTTGCCTTGTAATGTCATCTTTTTCATTTGCCGTGCACTTAATCTCTTGATCGAGTGCAATAGATTTTCTTCTTTTGCAAGAGTCTATAATTTCAAAGTTACGAATGAATCTTGAATTCTTATTTGGAGTCCTCTTTTATTGTTGGTTAGAATGCATAATGAATTAAAAAAAGAGCAATTTCTTCAGATCATGGACGAGCTTCATTCTTTGAAGAAGATTGATGGTCCTGACCCAAATTTCAAAGATACATGTTTTTCTGGTGCTGGAAGGTATGGTTATCTAATAATTGTCCGTTTTAAAAGCGAGTTACATCATCGAGTAATTAATTCGTTACCTTATGTCAGTGATGCTGCTGATTTATCAGACATATTTCCCACAGTTGACATGATATTTGATCATGAGCAAAAGTTGTCTCTAGCACCGGAAAATTACTTGTTTCCGGTGAGGAATTACTCTTTATTATTTATTTCAACTGGTTTGGTTGTTAGAATAGTTTGTGTAGTTGCTAAGTTAATGGATTCTTCTTTACTATGAATTCTCCAAATCATTACTTCAGCACTCAAAGATACATGGTGCATATTGTCTGGGAATTTTTGGGAATGCAAATGATCAAACTACTCTTCTAGGAGGTACGCTCTTTTCATGGTGGAGATGAACATACCTATTTTTTTTAATCACATGTTACATTTTGGCATGATTATTTCTTGTGATAGGCATCGTTGTCCGCAACACTTTAGTGATGTATGACAGAAAGCATTCAAAAGTTGGATTTTGGAAAACAAACTGTTCTGAGTTATGGGAAAGGCTACACATTTCAGATGATAATGCCCATGCTCCAGCTACATCGCTCGATACTGATATTGCCCCTGCATCTGCTCCAAGCGAGTCTCCACGTTATATGATTCCAGATATTTTTATTTTTGTTATGCTTTTATGCTTGTATGGCAGCTTGACATCATATCAGTTGGTTCTGTAGTGATTTTCCTTTTATGTTACTGTCATTATGACACTCGAGGTTCTATCATAAACAGTGTAGAACATTTTGAAATGCAAATTTTCATGATTATTTTATAAATTTATGCCTGTTGCAATTTCTACCTTAAATTGCCTGTTTGTGAAGTGTTTTCTTTTGTTTGCTGTGAAGAAGAGCTCCAGATTGGACGTATCACATTTGAGATCTTGTTGAATATAAGCTACCCAGATCTGGAGCCTCATCTTACGGAGCTTTCGGATCATATTGCTCACGAGTTAAATGTTAGCCAGTCACAGGTTAGTGCACATGACACATCGAGGATAGATTGAAAACTCTTTTAGCAGTTTTTAATGATCATTTTGGTATAATCTGTAAAACTTGCACTTATAAAAGTTTAGATTAACAACTGGGTTATATTAAAAATTAAGCTCTAATAGTCCTTCTGTTACCATAGTTAGTTAAGCGTAAACTGAAAATGACGTTACATACTAATGTCGATTGATTTTCGAGATCTCACATCGGTTGGGGAGGAGAACGAAGCATTCTTTATGAGGTGTGGAAACCTCTTCCTAGCAAATGCATCTTAAAAACCTTGAGAGAAGTCCGAAAGAGAAAGGCTCAAAGAGGACAATATCTGCTAGCGGTGGACTTGGGCTGTTATAAATGGTATCAGAGCTAGATACAGGGTGATGTGCCAGCGAGGAGGCTGAGCCCGCTCCGAAGGGGGTGGACACGAGGCAGTGTGCTAGCAAGGACGCTGGGCCCCGAAGGGGGTGGATTGGGGGGTTCCACATCAATTGAAGAAGGGAACGAGTGCTAGCGATGACGCTAGGCCTTGAAGGAGGGTGGATTTTGAGATTCCACATCGGTTAGGGAGGAGATCAAAACATTCTTTATAAGGGTGTGAAAGCCTCTCTCTAGCAGACGTGTTTTAAAAACTTTGAGAGAAAACTCGAAAGGAAAAGTTCAAAGAAGACAATATTTGCTAACGGTGGGTTGGGCTAGCCAAACATTAGTTTAATCTTTGAGTTTGTGATCATATCTAACTCTGTATAGCATGTTGTTTGAACCATTTTTCAGGTCCATTTATTGAACATTACCGTGGGAGGAAATGTTTCAGCTATTAGGCTGGCCATACTCCCTAATGGATCTTCGGAATTTTTCTCAAATGCGACTGCCACGGTAAATGATTATACCTGCTATGGTAAACTGCATGACAACCGAAAATTCACAAGCATGACTTTTCAAATCTTGTTCTTCTCCGCAGACGATTATTACTCTCATCAAGGAGCATCACATGGAGCTACCTCCTACATTTGGAAGTTACCAGGTAGTTCAATGGAATGTCGAACCTCTAACGAAAAGGTAAATATATAGATATTATTGTTTCTTATGTCCATCTTAAAGCCTTTTTAGCTTTTTATTTTTGAATATTAAGCTCTTTTATGTTAGTTATCTACTTTGAGATTTCACATTGATTGGAAAGAGAAACGAGTGCCAATGAGTACGCTGAGTCCTGGAGGGTAGATTGTGAGATCCCACGTCGATTGGGGAGGAGAACAAAATATTCTTTACAAGGGTGTGGAAACATCTCTCTAGCAGATACGCACCAAAGGGAAAACTCAAATAGGACAATATTTGTCGGCAGTAGGCTTGAGCTCTTACAACTACTTTCCAAAAATGTTTTCGAGGCAGAGTAGACCTAATAAATATTTTTACCCGTTTGCCTTTTTTTGATCATCTGGACCACTCCCTTATGCGCCACTCATTGTCATACCATGGAACTTATTAGAATTAAAATCGAAAGCTCGAAAGGGCTTGAAACTTTGGAAGTTCTTGAAGGGACTAAAATGGTAATGTAGTCAAGTCTTGTTGAGTAGGTAAATGTTCAATGGTATTAATGTAGTCCAAACTCTTGTATTTGGTTTTAGGTCAGTGTGGAAGCGAGTTTATGTTGTGGTGGTTTTAGCTGTTATAGTGACCCTTATCCTTGGGTTGTCAGCATTGGGAGTGTGTCTTATTTGGAGAAGCAGACAGCCAGGGTTCAATGCATATAAGCCTGTCAATGCAGCAATTCCAGAGCACGAACTCCAGCCCTTGTAAACAACCCTTCCCAACACATTTTTGGTTTCTTCTCACTCTTTGCATCTTTTTCGTTTTATAGCTTCAAATGTTCAGAATTATTATTTTTTAGCCTTTGTATTCATTTTATTCTCAAAGGCTCTAACATTAAACAAACCAAACGAGTTCCATTTGGGTGCAATGGTTTCAACTTTATGGTGGTAGTAGTTGAAGGAAAAAATTCCTTTTCTTATAGACTAACGATGTCTACAGGCAGAGACGGGGAAGCCTTTCCCGCACCATCCTTGCTACAATGCATGGAGCAAAGCCCATGCTTACTCCACGGAGTCTCATCCACCTTTTCAGACATCAGGAGATGCTTCAAGCCAATCGGGCGGGTAAGCCAAGGGCATGGGTGAGTGAACTCGATGCAAAATTTCCTATTGCGTGTGTTGAAAATATATTTATATTAAATGGAGCGAGACAGAAAATTGGGCGGGAGTGGAGATGGGAATGGGGATGGGGACCCCATTTATTTAATGGGGAACCACTCCCTCCCCCGTTCCCTCTCTACATGGAGAATTCTCTCACTGTTTAAGGCGGGTTTCTGTAGGTAAAATGGACATTTCTACAATATAGACGTGTCGAACAAATCGAGTTTGTTAATCGTTAGACGTTGAAATCTTGTGTTTTGTGTTGATATATAAATTCATTGCAAGAAGTGTAAATATATTGATAGCATTTATACCCGGTCAAGCTGCATCTATGCTACATTCAAAGTCAAGGAAAACCCTTTATGGATGGAACATTAAATATGCAGACATTATTGAAAATTGTAGCTGGTTTAATTCTAACTTCTAGGCATATAAGGATTTTGGATTTGAAAAAATTCATGTTAAAGTAAAATTTCACTGGAGTCGTAGTAGCATAGAAGGAGTGTTTCGAGCCTATCTATATCAAGGGTACGACTTCACATATCTACGAATAATTTTTTTTCACAAGTCTAGAAATCTCTCACTAACATGCGTGTTTTAAAAAATTGAGAGAAATACTCAAACAGAACAATATCCGGCGGTTGCTTAGCCATATAATATCATTATCTATAAATATATTTTTTTTTATAAATAAAATATAAATTTTATTTAAAAATCAAACCCTTTTAAACTAACCTACCTAATTTGAAATCAGGTAGTTTAATTAAATTGGTTTACATTGAAATAGTATTTTTCATTTAACAAATAATTTAAAGTTTCAAATTTGAACTTATAATCTCTTGATTGACGGGACGGTACATGTTGATTGACTAAATTTTAAGTTTGACTTATCGATTATTTAATAAACTAGGTCAATATTTTCCTTTCTATGGAATGTTTCTTGGCAAATTCTCATCTCTTGGTATTCTAAAAGTCAACCCTAACTCTCGGATTAAATATGATATGATATTAATATTCTACATTTTAAGGTAGATTAGAATACAATCCTTAAATACAATCTAAATGATTAACGTTCATAACAAATTGCCTTCTTAAAAGTCATAGGCTTGAATTCCCACCATTATTAGCTACGTGAGATTTAAAAAAATAAAAAAATGAAAGACTAAATGTATAGTAATTTAAATCTTTCTTTTCTTTACCCGTGTTTGTATCGATAATATGTTGTTTTTTCCCGTCAACATGCCAACGTATTCCAGTGATAAAATACCTAGTCCTTAGTTAATAATGTCGTGTTTGTTGCCTAATACTTAAAAACAACAACTTATATAGTAAGGATGACAGATGATAAACTGCGGTTTAAATTTTATTAATGAAATTAAAAGATTAAAACTTTAAAACCAGCTTAAACTCAACACTTGGAATCAGATGATGCTATTTCCTTTGAATTATTCCATTGTTCTAAGAACGCCGAGAAAATTGAAGAAAGAAAGATGAAGAAGTTTGAATAAATTGGTAAACAAGGAGAATAAAATCGACCCCACATTCCAAGTAGGCCATTTAAAAGGGCCATAACGAATAATAGAAGCTAATTCATCAACTCAAATGAATAAACTAATCGAAGTAGAACAAGTCTGCGGTGATGGTGAATGGAACGGCAACGGAAACGGAAGAGGAATAGCTGAAATCTGGGTGGTGGGTTTCACGCATACTCTTCGATTGCTATAGAAACAGGCGCCTTACGCACCATTTTCTGATCTTCCTTCTCCATTTTTTTTTTTTTTTTTTTTTTTTTTTTTTTTTTTTTTTTTTTTTTTT